AGTGGGGGGAACTGGAACTGAACAGCCTAAATACAAACTCCGATTCTTCCGAGGGCTCTGAAAAAAAACTGGTCCTCAAGATACCTTAAAGCGATACAAGTGAATCTACCATTTGATCCAGCAATCCCATTGCTGGGCATCTACCCAAATGATCCAGTGACACTCTACAAAAAAGACACCTGCACTCGAATGTTTATAGCAGCACAATTCATAATTGCAAGGCTGTGGAAACAGCCCAAGTGCCCATCAATCCAAGAATGGATTAATAAAATGTGGTATATGTATACCATGGAGTACTATTCAGCTCTAAGAAACAATGGTGATATAGCACATCTTATATTTTCCTGGTTAGAGCTGGAACCCAAACTACTAAGTGAAGTATCCCAAGAATGGAAAAACAAGCACCAGATATATTCTCCAGCAAACTGGTATTAACTGAGTAGCACCTAAGTGGACACATAGGTGCTACAGTAATAGGGTATTGGGCAGGTGGGAGGGGGGAGGGGGGCGGGTATATACATACATAATGAGTGAGATGTGCACCATCTGGGGGATGGTCATGATGGAGACTCAGACTTTTGGGGGGAGGGGGGGAAATGGGCATTTATTGAAACCTTAAAATCTATACCCCCATAATATGCCAAAATAAAAAAATAAATAAATAAATAAATAAAAATAAAAAACTGGTCCTCCTCCAGGAGATAGTGGAGAAGCTCAGCAGTGCCGTCCCAGGCTGTGGATGAGCAGGAAGGCTCCCCTTGGAATTTGTAAGCGTGAGCCTGTGCAACTGATCGAATTATATAACCCTCTTGGCCCAGCAACCCCAAGACAACAAATTAACAACAACAAAAAAAAAATCACAATTTAGTAATACCCCTGGGCCACATGGCAAGGGTGTGTCCATAACGTCTGTGGGGAGATAAACCCTCAACCAGGCTACAGGGGATTCTGACCCACAGAAAATGAACTCGGTATCCAAAACTAAAAAGCCATTCAGAAAGAATCAGCAGAATGAACAAGCAGCATATTAAGACCACCCAGAACTTTAGGTAATAGAGTATGGATATATAATCACTGATACTTCAAAATATAGATTAGATATAACCTAAAAGAGAATTACACATATGAAAGAGTTATTATCCTCAGCAAACCTATAGCTGCAGAATATCTTTTAAAAGCTAGATAAAACATTTTTTAAAAATATAACTTCTTGAATCCATTGCCGCACTAGCAAAACCATATGGGAAACCCAGACAAATGAAAAGAAAGTGAAAGTTCCCCAGGGCATGGGAGGGCTCCCATTCTGACAGCCAGAGGGGTGAGGGTAAAAAGCACCAACAAGAAGAGGGGCAGAAGACAACTCCCCTGCCTTGGCAGGGGTGCGGGCGGGAGGAGAAAAATGCTCCCTGCAAATCTGAAATCACAAACTGGCTCTCCCGTGTGTTGGCTGCCCACATTCACATTGTGTAAGTAGTCTGACAAACAAATGAGACTTTTGTTTTTCTCTTATCTTTTTCTTTAGAAAACTTGAAACCTACAGAAAAGTTGAAAAAAATAGTACACAGAATACCTGGAAACACTCTCCTAGATTTACCAACTGATATTTTTCTGTATGGTCCCACCTTCACCCCCCTCAGCATTTGTGTGTATGTAAATAGATATGCACAGTATACATATAAGTGCATGTGCACACACATGAATATACACTATTTCACTGAACCATTTGAATATATATTGAGAACATTGACGCCTACAAACTTCACGCCTACAAACTTCAGCCACTATCTCCAAAGAATAAGCACATTCTCTTTCCTTACCATAACGCCATGAAACATACAGTCTATGTTCAAATTTCCCCAACTGTCCCAACAATGTCTTCTAAAGCTTTGTTTTCCCCAATTTAGAATCCAGTAAGTTTCTTGCACTGCATTTGGCAGCGTCTTTTTAATTTCTTCTAATCTAGAACAGTTCTCCCAGTCCAAACCATTTTGTCTCCTTTCCTTGTACATTTCCATGATATTGATTCTCATGAAGAATCCAGGCCAGTTGTCTCATAGAACATCCCACTCTCTGCATGTATCTGATTATTTATTCATGATTACATTCAGGCTAAGCATCCTTACTAGAACACTACACAGGTCATGCTGTTGCTGTCTGACTGCATCATGGCAGGCACATAGCACCAGGTAGCCCTATTGGCAACGATGCTAACTTAGACCACTTGCTAAAGGTGATTGCCCCCAGATCTCTTCATTATGAAGAGACGTGCTCTGCTTTGTAATCTTTGCATGGATACTTGAAACTCTATGAATATCCTGTTTCCTCTCCACATTGTATACAATGCTTTTTTAGTACCCATTGGCTATTTTTTACTTCTGTTAATCCCTTCTACATTGATTAGCTGACATATTCTGCAAAGATCACCTGAGATTTTAAAAGTGCTCACGCAGCCTGGCAGAAGCAAATGTAAATCATATTTTTAAATTAATTTATTTTTAATTGACAAATATACATATATTTATCATGTAAAATATGCTAATTTGAAATATGTATACCTAGTGGAATGGTTCAATCAAGCTAATTAACATATGCATTACCTCACACATTTTTTGTGGTGAGAACACTTAAAAATTTTCAAGAATATTAATATATTGTTATTAACTTTAGTCACCATGCTATACAATAGCTCTCTTGAACTTATTCCTTTTATCTAACTGAAATTTTGTATCCTTTGACCAATGCCTCCCTGATCCATAGTAACCACCATTCTACTCTTTACTTCTATGAGTTCAACTTTTTTAGATTCCACATATAAGATCACGGAGTATTTGTCTTTTTGTGTCTGGCTTATTTTACTTGACATAATTTCTCCAGGTTCACCCATGTTGTCACAAATGACTAGATTTCCTTCTTTTTTAAGGCTGAGTAGCATTCCATTCTGTATATACACCACATTCTCTTTATCTTTTTACCCACTGATGGACACTTAGGTTGATTTCATATCTTGGATAGTGCGAATAATGCTGCAATGAACATACATAGGAGTGTAGGTATCTATCTCTTCAACATACTGATTTCATTTCCTTTGGCTATGTACCCAGTAGTGGGATTGCTAGATCATATGGTAGTTCCATTTTAATATTTTGAGGAACCTCCATACTGTTTTCCATAATGGCTGTACAAATTTATGTTCCCACCAATAGTGTGCAAGGGTTCTCTTTACTCCACAACAAATGCAAATCTTGCACAAAGGAACCCACCTTCAATGTAGAGCTCAAAGAATTCCTGCACATAATGTGCTATTGATCATAAATACACCATGCAAAATTACAAAGCACCTTAGGAAGCAAAGCACTTGGAACAAGAGCTAGTTGAAGCATAAAACAGTAGGGTCCAACCTCCAAAGATTTGATATTGGAACTGTCAGCAACAGAATGTAAAGTACACATATCTATAATTTATAAAAGAAAAAAATCATAATCTATATAAAATAAACAAGTAGACATTCAAAGAAATCAAATCAAATATCTATAAATGAAAATAATACCAAAAATTGAAACTCAAAAGGAGTTAAATACCAGATAAACACTACTAAAAAGAGAATCCATAAAATAGAAGGTAGGGCTGAAGAAATTACACTTCCTATAGCCAGAGTAGCAAAGGAGAGGAAAATGTGAAGGAGAGACTTAGAGATCCAAAGACATGAGGATTCAACATAGAACCAGGTGGAGTTCCACAAGGGAAGGACAGAGAGATAGGAGAAAGATAGTATGGCAAAAGCTGAGCATGGTGCAGAGTCCATGAAACTCACTGAAATCAAAAAATATAAGATCTAAGAAAGAAAGATAAAAAATAAACACAAGCCTAGATACTGCCTTAATGAAATCTATGGACAAAAAAGACAAAATTTTACTTTAGCAACTAGAGAAGAAAGACATGTTAGCTATAAAAGACCTATTAGAGGCCGGGCACGGTGGCTCACATCAGTAATCCTTGCACTCTGGGAGGCCAAGGCAAGAGGATCACTCAAGGTCAGGAGTTCGAGACCAGCCTGAGCAAGAACAAGACCCCATCTCTACTAAAAAAAAAATAGAAATAAATTAACTGACCAATTAAAAATATGTAGAAAAAATTAGCCAGGCATGGTGGCACATGCCTGTAGTCCCAGCTACTTGGGAGGCTAAGGCAGGAGGATTGCTTGAGCCCAGGAGATTGAGGTTGCTGTGAGCTAGGCTGATGCCACAGCACTCTAGCCCGGGAAAAAGAGTGAGACTCTGTCTCAAAAGTAAAAAAAAAATAAAATAAAAGACCTATTTGAGACATAGTAAATTTCTCAATAGCAAAAAAGAGGCCAGAAAACAAAGGAATAACAAGGTTGAAAATAAAAGTCCAGAAAAATATATGGCTGGCAAATAATGACTACAGGTTGTGTAGTTGTATTGGTATCAGACAAACTAAACTTTAGGGGAAAAGTAATACTAGACACAAAGATGGAACTTCATAAAAAGGAAAAATTCAGCCAGAAGGTAAAACTTTACTGAACCAGTATGTACCGATTAACAGATTCAAAGTTATATATAGCAAAAATTCAGAGAATTACAGAAAGAAATTGATAACTTTCATAACCATTTTGGCTGTTCTATGCACCTTTTCCAGTAAATACTGAATCAGATAGAATATAGTAAATCTACTGAATATTTTAACAACACAAATAACAAACATCAGCAGAGGAATGAATAAGGGAACTGAGTTCCTCGTAAAATGAATCACAACACAACTAAGAGGATAAATGACCTAAATCTATGCAAGGACTCTCCTATATGACCATAATACCACTAAACCAGACAGTCTGCACTCAAAGTTCCCCAACTGTCCCAAGGATATCTTTCGTAGCTTTTTTTTTTTAAATTGGGATCCAATCAAAATATTTGGTTATATCTCTTTAGGCTCTTTTCAAGTAGAATAGTCGTTAGCCTTTTTTAGCTTTTCACAGAATTTACCTTTATGAAGCATTCAGGCCAGCTGTCTTATAGAACGTCCCACATTCTGGATTTATATGATTGTCTCCTCCTGTTTAGATTCAGATTAAATAATTCTGGTAAGAACAGTATAGAAGATATTAACCACGTTAATAAATCTTTAAAAATATAATGTTAAGAAATCAAAAGGAAATGTACCATATTTTTATATAAAAATATTAACTCACAGAAATTATCATGTATTATGTACTATGAATTTAAGTTTAGTTAAAATTATAAAAACATTTATAAGGAAAACATACACTCAATTTGGAATTATGATTATAATTTATAATATGATTATAATCTTCCCTCTGGAGAAAGAGCTAGGAAAGGACAGAGATAGGCACCAGGATTTTAGCTATCTGTAACATTGTATCTATTTAACCAAATAAGGCAAAACGTTAACAGATTCTGAAATGTATTTGTACCCTACATAAGTGCCTGTTAGATGTCTTGCTATTCTTTTGCTATGTTTGCCTTGTTTCATAACTAATAATTAAAAATATAAAATATAAACCAACAAAAATTTCATTACTTTGTACAGTGGGGTAAAAAAAGATGAGTGGAAACAGATTTGAGAGTCAAATTCAAAATGACCTTCCACAGTGTGGCTGCAGGGCGTGAGCTGTTAGCACCACTTTCCAACACTCATAGTAACATGTCATTAATGTCCTTGGGCCTGAATCTCCTTTCTTCAACAGAAGTGAGGTGGAGATCGGAGAAATTTTCCTCTCCAGACTCAGACACCTTGTTCAGAGGGAATCCTACAATGAGGAGGGAAACAGCTGATCTGTTTCTGGCCACTCTCGCCCCAGAATCTAGATGCCTCCAGCTAGGTAGGAGGCCACTTGGCCTGAGGATCCACATCTGAAGAGAATGTTTCCTCAGCGCATAATCGAATCTACCGAGAACTTGCTGAGAACAGCTGAACCAAGAACCAAGTATTTGTATTTCCAGCCACAAATCACGAGGAGTAACATCATGGCTTCCTCCACATTCAGGGCCTGACCGTGGGTGGCTCTAGTCTGTCCTGGTCCCACAGGGACCATTCATTTCATACTGGGAAGTCTTCCAGGTACTGCAGGGCTGATATCTCTATGTTCTTAACTCTCTCATGAAGATGTTTTTCATGTTTTTCTAACTACAGTCCAGATTTGGTGTGGGATCAGAATGTGCTCATGTAAGAAGGCAAGTACGCCCACTATGCACCCACCCTGTGGGGTCTGGACCAGCACCCATGTCAAAGCACATAAGCACACCAACACCTCCACTAGTGGGACACGCAGGACTATAAGGGGCTCGTGTCTGTTCTGGTCAGATTTTGTTTCCTAATCTGTACAGGTCAGGTCAGGTTTGCCACCAAATTACTTACAAAAAAGCAAAACAAACAAACAAACAAAAAACACAAACAAACCAAAAAAACATTGTCAGAGCTTTGGAAGTTTCAAAATTGCTAACAAAGGGATTGTCTGAAGTCTTCATCAACTGATTTTACAGAATATGTTGCTTTCCTCCAGTATTTCCTGCAAAGTCCTGGCTGCAGCCAGCTGTGCTCCTGGGTGTTGTTTCTCTACTATGAGCCTGTGGGGTTTATGTTTTCTCTGAGGGGTTATTCTTTGTTCAGTTTCCTATTGCTGCTGTAACACATTACTACAAAGTGGTAGTTTAAAACAATACAAGTTTACTATCTTACAGTTATGGAGATCAGAAATCTTAAAATCAAGATGTCAACAAATGTGCATTCCTTCTGGAGATTCTAGGAGAGACTCTGTTTACTTAGGTTTTCCAGTTTCTAAAAGCTGCCCACATTCCTTGGCTTGTGGCCCCTTCCTCCATCTCCAAGGCTAGCAGCATAGCATCTTCTAATCTCTCTCTTCTCTCTCTCCCCCCATTTCTGTCCTTACACCTCCCTTTTCTGACTCTGACTTCCTGCCACCCTCTCATAAGGACCTTTGTGATTACATTGGGCCCACTCAGATAATCCAGGATAATCTCCCCATTTGGGGATCCTTAGCTTAATCACATCTCCAAAGTCCCTTTTGCCACATAAAGTGACGTATTCACAGGCCTTAGGGATTAGAATGTGGACATCTTTGGAGGCCATTATTGTGCCTATTGCTCTATTCTTTTCAGTGCTGTGGGATTGCAGGGGAATTTGCTGAGAGGACTGCTCCCTGTTCAGATGCCAAGATGAAATATGTCCCTTTGAGCACACACACAAGCAATGATAGTCCCTGGCAACAGCATTCAACAGCAGGTCTCCATCCCCCCAGTGCAGCACTGGGGGTGTTAGACCTGGGTCACTTATGAATATGCTAACTCTTAAATTCTCTTAAATATTTTCAAACTTGGTAAAACCATCTGAACTTTCAACCTGAAATCCCAAGCATAATATTAAATTACTCAACAATACATTGGCTTCCAACTTAAAAGTTCATCTGTTAGATATTCTGAAGTACCAATATCTTATCTACATAATAAGCACTTACTAAATATGCCAAAATTATTCTTAAACTTACAACAAAAATAGTGATGCTATGGTTTGATTTACCTTGTAACACTTCTATAGTGAATTTAACTTCAAGATTTCAGTAGACTTAAGCAAAGTGATCTACCATAGAAAGATGAACACATCCCAAGCCAGTGGGGGTTACTCCCCCAAGCAAATTGAGGTTCCTCCTCACTTGGTGGATTGCTCTTCACCTGAGATTTGGGTCAGGTTCTGAGATCTGGAGTTGTAGGCATCCAGAGAGATTTCTGTGTAACCTAGACTGCGAGGCTGAAACCTTCTGATGGCCACTGTCCAATAGGGAAACGCCCCATGCGTTTAATTAAGCCTCGCCTGTTCTGTGCCGACTCCATTTGGGCCTGCCCTTTGTTGCTCAAATAGGACAAGAGTCTGTGAACTCAGTGGCCCCTCTGCTCCTGCGCTCCACAAGGCTCCCTTTGCCTGAACCCCCAGGCCTCAGACAAACATCTCTGATGAGCCAAAAATCAAGCAGCCCTGGGCTAACACATCTCCCAGATTTGTTGTCCTCCCTGGTATTCATCTCCATCAGAGTTGTGTTTATTTCTTTATCATCTCTACACCCTGAAACAAAGCTTTTACAATGTTCAGCCTCCCATGGTTTTGATGTCTCTGACTTAGCATGAAACAGAATAATGTAACCATATATTGCTCCCAACTCAGAGAATATTTTTAAAAAAGGACTGTTCTATTAGAAATGACACATATACCTTTCTCTGAAAAACCTCTCCAGTCCACATAGTAAGATGTCTTTGGAGAACATCAAAGATCTCCAGCTGGAAGAAAAACACCTACAACCGGAAACCAAAGAAGTGAATGGAATCCTCATGACCAAGATGATAAGTGATAATTGGGAAAAAATCTGGAATTTCCAAGCAAAACCTGACGATCTCCTCATTGCAACTTATGCAAAGGCAGGTAGGTATGAGGAAATGGCAGTGAAGACTGATTTAGCAGAACGCTGACACCCAAAGTGAGCCCCCTAATTTAAAATACATAGGGTTTCACCAGGGCTGGCCCCTGGGAAAAATGAAAACCAGACTTGCTCCTGTGCTCCGATTCCCTGGGTCCAAGATCCTCCATTTATTTGGGTCCCCGATAGAGAAACAAGTGGACAGAATCCCAAGTCCCCAAAAAGAACTGAATTAATTACAAAGTGACTTAAGAGCACAGAATCTGACAAACAGCATAAAAGTTATTACAGTATATTTTGCCAACCCAGCCAGTCTCTGTTCTCACCCACTGAGCTCTCCTGGAATTAATCATAGTCCTTGCCTCGAAGAAGCTCCTCCTAGTGGAGGAGGCAGACGTGGAACTGAACACTTTCACCTCAATTTAAAAAGGGTTGGTACAATTGGGTCCACAACCTATGGTAGTACCCAGGTAAGGATCTGGGAAAAGGGAGGCAACATTTACCAAAACTTTATAAAATGGTGAGTTTGTGGGAAAAGTAAGGGTTGAAATGGGCAAAGGTGTTCCAGGCTTGTGCAGGATAGAAGAACAGGGAACGTCCCCACCAGGGAAGACTGATAATGACTGATAATCCCCTCTACATTATCTGTATTAATAATTTCAGACACTCTTCCACTCTTTATTTCAAAGCTACCAGCCCTCTTCTCTCCTGAGCCTTCCTGACCCCTTTTCAGCGTCAGCCCTCACTTTCTGAACCCCTATGGCACTTTGCACACCTCTATAGCCCTTCCTTTAAACTATTATTAATATCTGTCAGTTATCTGGACATATGTCTCATGTATCAGTTACTGCCAGGCGTGGCTGCAAGCCACAGAGACGCCAAAACTAGTAAAGAGGAAAATGGATATTTGGTGGACAATTAACTCTCTCCACCACAGTCCAGCTTTTTGCCTACCCACATGTCTGTTTACACTCCTCTTCTGTGTCCGTTGGGAGTCAATTTAGCTACAAGTGTTAGACAATCCAAAATAACACAAAAGAAAAAGCAGTCTGAAAGTCCGTAGCCCAGGGCTAAAACAGTGGCTGCACTGGTTATCAGCAACCCTGGCTCCTTCTAACTTTCTGCTCCTCCATCTTCAGGTGTGGCTTTGGATAATATGCTCCATGTGATGTGCCTGCTCACATCACATGCACATTCCAAACAGCAGCAAGTTTTGGTTTTTTATTTGTTTTTTTTTTTTGAGATAGAGTCTCTCTCTGTTGCCCAGGCTAGAGTGCAGTAGCATGATCACAGCTCACTGTAACCTCAAACTCCTAGGCTCAAGTGATCTTCCTGCCCCAGCCTCCCAATTAGCTGGGAATATAGGCACATGTCACCACAATGGGCTAATTTTTCTATTTTTTTGTAGAGACAGGGTCTCTCCATGTTGCTTAGGCTGGTCTCAAAGTCCCAGCCTCAAGTGATCTTGCCACCTCAGTCTCCCCAAGTGCTAGGATTGCAGGTGTGGGTCACCATGCCCAGCTAATTCACAAGTGGATTAAGAAAATATGGTATAGGTATACCATGAGGTACTATTCAGTCATAAAAAGCACTGAAATAATGTCTTTTG